TTAATCGGCTCATAGTGACTTTATTTGAAGTAGTTTTGGACTACCTGTGCGCTTATGCAGGCATGATTAAGAGGTATTTAACAGTGCTAAACATTACTTCAATGGGACTTTGGCTATGTTCAACTGACAGTTTTATAAGAACTTTAAAGAGACATTATGTAAAAGAGAATGTTGGATGCCTTTTTTGTTTCATGAGAATTTGGAAGATTTACTAAGGTTACTATTTGACTCATGGGTTCTGTATCTAGAGGATAGTGGGTGAGTGGGTACAGAAGATGCATGAGAGATAAAATGAACATGGGAGGAAAGATGGGAGGGTGGGTGGAGGAAGGGGGCTAGAGGGCCTAAATATATGAATTGCACAGAGCGGATGTCTCAGGAAATGGAAGTGGGCTTTCTAATCCCTCATCCTCACCATACATCAACCTCTATTGCTGCATTGGGAGGCAATGGCCCCAATTACAGTCTACATCCAACATCCAGAGACCAAAACCCTGGGTGAGCAGACTGATATTTAAAAGTTCAAGCTGCGATGTTGGGAAATTATAAACTATGAAGAAAGTGTAGAACTCCAGAAGGACGCGGGCAAGATGGTGAAGTGGACAAAGAGATGGCAGATGAAGTTCAATATGAAGAAATCGGAGGTGATGCATTTCGATACAAAAAAAAACCTGGATAATCAACAAAAAATAAGGTACAATATTTTGGGGGGGAGGGGTGTGAAGGGGGTGCAGGAGTGGGTTGCAGGTGTCAAGGGACCTGGGTTTATAGATGAATGAATTATTGAAGCTGGCAGGGCAGGTGGACAGTGCCCAGTTCTGAGTTTTATTAACATGGGCGAAGACCAAGGCGGGTGTACTGTACTTATACGAGCTACTTATTAGATCTCATCTGGACTTCTGTATGCCACACAATAGGAAGGATGTGAGCACATTGGAAAATACAGAATAGATTTACAAAAATGGTTCCAGGTTTGAGAAACTTCAGTCATGTGGATAACTTGGTGAGTTGGTACTGTTCTCGTTGGAGAAAGGAAGGCTGAGGGGAAATCTGACAAGAGTTTTCAAAATCAGCAGAGGTCTGGATCAAGTAGATAGGGAGAAACTGTTCCAGCTGCTAAAAAGGATTGAGAATGAGACAGGAATGTATTTAAAGTGATTTGCAAAAGGAGCAAGGTTTTGGTCTCTGGGTGTTGTGACATAGGAAAAACATTTTTCATGATAAGTGGTTCTGAAATGCAGTGAGTAGAAGTAGAGACAGGTTCAATTGAGGCATTTAAGAGGGCACCGAATGATTATATAAATAGATGCAATGTACAAGGGGAAAAAGGCAGTGGAATGGCACCAAGTCTTAATGTTTGTTAAAGAGCCAGAACAGACACGATAGGGAATGCTCTTTCTGTGCCACAATAATTGTGTTTCTATGAAATGTACTGATTCCTGGTTCCTGAAAGTTAAAAAAAAACACTCAAAATCTCTTTTTTTGTCTTAAAGTACCCTCTATCACGTTGTGTGGCACTACTACTATGTTCCAATTCTAATTAATTTAGCACATCTCGCAGCTCAAAGCTTGTTATCCAGGAAGCCAGGCTGCATCAGAGAAGTAGGAAAGTTGACGTTTCGGGTCAGGACCCTTCTTCAGAAAAGGGTCCCAACCCAAAATAGCAACTTTCCTGCTCCTCTGATGCTGCCTGGCCTGCTGTGCTCCTCCAGCTCCACTCTGTCTCATCTCTGACTCCAGCATTGGCAGTTCTTACTATTTCTTATCCAGGTGGCTATTTGTTGAGGCCATGAGATTGGTGTTGGTCATCAGCAGCAGAACTATATTCAACCACAATCTGGAACCTCATGGCCTGATACATCCCCCACTCTAGCATGAATATCAAAGCACAAGATTGACCCTGCTTAAGCAACAAGTGCAGCGAATGTGCCAGAAGCAGCACTAGGTATGATGCATTTATAACACTCTCACTGTAACTTAAGTATCTTTTCACTCCTGTTGTTTTCTCCCCTCCCTTCCTGTCTTCTCCTGAAGAAACTGATTTTACACTGGGATGTAGTTCAACACCTACCTGGATGTGTGTCAGTGGACTATTCAACTGCAAGGGTCATCACAGAAAGGCCTGATGTCGTTCATACCTGACACACACATCCTCATAACAGCAGTCATTGAATAGCAATTAGGAGCAGGAATTGTGGATGATTTTCCTCTCCCTACCTCAGGGACAATGAGGGACATTGTAGGATGCCTTGAGCTGAGATAACTCAGCACAAAGCAAAGCTCAAAACTGTGACCTTCACAGTCTATATCAATCACACACTCACTGAACCACTGAGTGAGCCCAAGCTAAGTAAATGTAATGTCAGCACAGCTACAAATCATGTCCATGCAATGCATTCTGGGGATCCCTGTTTATCTTGCTGCTAGATTAAAGATCACATGACACCAACAGGCAGGCCTTGTGAAAATCTGACTCCTACTTTCCAATGAGAGGTTAATGATATCGAAATTCTAAGCATGACTTTTAAGGCTTCATTTGCAATGCAAGCAACAGTAATGTGGTATTAAAAATAACTTATACCCATATACATTAAGAACATCTTCAAATATTTGTATAATTTCATGCACATGTATAAAAACATAAGAATACATTACGTGCACTTTGATAGCTTCTCGACAGCCTGAATCTAGTCTATCACTGAGACTAATATTTTATTTTTCAATTGTAATGCTTTTCCGGGATTTTTGTCAGGTTCTCCAATATACATACATTCTAAGCCACCAGGAAAGCATCTACCCGCAAACTGAAGGAGGGAAATATTATCTACAAATAATTTCTCAGAATTGTAGTTTAATGTCATAAGAGACACAATGTTTGTCACCTTCAGTTATGATGCAGGGTACACTGAGGGAGGATTATTGTGACACAGAATTTCCACAACAATAGGCTCATTTTTGAAGAGAAACACAAGATTCATTTGTATCACGTTTCACACGAAAATACATATGATACACCTTAAATCTAGCTGTGAAATTTCCCTTTTGATATAAAATGAGAAAATACTTTTTGCCATAACTGCTGATTCTTTAATAAGGTTGCAGAAACAAAGTGATATTTCAGATGATTCAGCTCCTTCTTCCCTGTTGCCAATGTTCTGATTCAGGCTGTCCAGGGCAGGCATTACATTTCAATTTTTCTCTCACTTGAGGGGATGGTGAGCAGAGTTCGGAAAGATAAAGCTTTCATGAGCAGTACATACGAATTTCAAAAGAAAACAATTCCAAAATGACAAACTGATAGTTTAAATAAATAAGTAATAAAAATGACCATTAAAAGCACCAGAGATAACTGATAAAGCCTTTTTTGCCATCTCAGTTAAAAAGCAGAGCTAGAGATAGACAGAGATAGAGAGAAAGAGAAAAAGAGAGACAAACAGACAGACAGAGGGAGATGGATTAGGCTCCAAGCCCCGATCAACAGAGAAGGAGGTGGGCTCAGGGCCAAGTCAAGTTGTGTATATATTGACCTGCATTCACCTCTGGTGGTGCACACTCCAAGTGACATTGGTGGAATTTGTGCGGAAGCGAGTTGCCTTTCAGCCTGGGATTTCCTCTTTTTCCAGCCTGCTTTATGGATAGGTTTTTGTCCAGTAGAAGTCTGTGTGGTTTCTGTGTCTGTGTGTCTATGTGGCTCATTCAATCTCAGGATTTACACACACTCTTTCTCACATACACATACATACACACTTCTTCCCAATCCCTCACAGATAAAACAATCCCACTCTCACACACATTCCTCACAAACAAACACGTACACTCCTTCCCATGTACATACCCCCTCCCTCCCATGCACTCACACACCCCTCCCTCAATCTCACGTTCCCACTGTGCAGGCTCAGGGGTTCCACCCTGCATCTTGACTGTTGTCTGTCAGGCCCCTTTCCACAAAGTAAACAGTTTCATTTTCCCCTGAACCAATCTCTGACTTGCTGCATCGTCCTCCCCGCAGACACGCTGTCATTGCCAGCATCTAAACCTCAAGCTGGGATACAGAAATCCACACAGCCTCACTGCTCTTCCAATCAGAGCTTACCCGCAGCAAAAACAGGAGGGAAACAGCCTTCAACTTGGAGAACCTTGAGCAGTACTTAACCCTATTTGGATCACAGGTTGTAGACCAGATAGGTCCCTCAGTGAGCCACATTCGGGCCTGATGCCCACCTGGTGGATAAGACTGCTCTAATTATTCCATACTGAACCACTCGGTTGGGGTGGACAGCAGAGGAGGGGAGAAATCTAAAACATTTTCTTGTAATGATACAGTTTGATGAGGCCACCACAGAAGAGGAACCTGTTTGGCCAAGGTTGAAAAATTACGATACTCGACAGGGAGATGCGAGTCTTGAAACTTCATGGGCTGTTTGAGTAAATGATTCATAATCTGCCAATCTCCTTTTCAAAACCCAATGGACAAGGGAGGCCTAATACTACTGACAAGCACCAGTAATACTAACTGCACATAAAAGACAAAGGATATTCAGGGTGAGCGACATGATCAAATAAAAGGAGGCAGCAGTTACATCCCACCATTCAGCTCACAGAAACCTCTGAGTGCACCCATTTGGTGTGGGTTAGTTGTCGTTCTGAAGGGAAACAGAAGTTACCAAGATAGCTCAAAGTCTTCAAATGTCTTGCAGTCAGGCCTGCAACCCCAGGTAGCCACCTTTTTGCATTGCCTGGGGGATCAACACAGCCATTTCCCCCGGTGTAAGGTACAAGCAGAATTCAGTCAAGGGCCAAGGAAGTTCTGAGCCATGGATTCTAGAACATGACTCCTCTGGCAATGGAGGCCATGTCTGGGGAGGATGATCCTGATCTGGTTTTCTGGTCTTTTATCTTACTGTCAGTGAGTTTACACTGGAAATGTACTGGAAAAATGCAGCTTTTTAGGCCTATCACATTTATTTCCTTTTAAGAAGGCAGCACTAAAAACACCTCACCGCTATTTCATGCTGTTGACATTTTTCCTCATTTCGCAGCATCTGCTCCTTTAGGGTCTGAAGCTGGGATTTCAGATCCTGATTTAATGTCGTGATGCACTGAACTTTTTCCAAGAGCATTTCTCTTTCTTTATCAAACTGGGACTGAAGCAACTGGAGAGCATCTTGGGAAGTCTCAATTTGTTGTTGTGTGTTCTTCTTCATGTTTGTGAGCTAAAAGAAAGACAGAAATCAAAATTCAAAACACTAACGTTTTAGCTTCACTTTAATTCATTCTTGCACAGGCACTGAAAACGTCCCTCATTTTCAGGATTATTGTAGAAATCAAAGTTGTAATTTTCAAATTACATTTTCTATATTACATAATTCACTCTTGAAAATAATGAAAAGGTTCCTTAAATACCTCAAGAATTCAGAACTTTCTGAAATTTCAAACAAACAGAGGCCCCTGGCATTTATGGAAATCAGTTGCATGCACTAGTGCAAATTATAATTAAACAAAATCAGTTAAATTAAGCTGAAGTCCCTTTTCACTTATTATGGACTTCTTTTTAAAAGAAGCAGAGAGGCTGGAATCTTTTTGATACCGGAATCAAACTCAACTCCTGAGCCTGCATCAGCGGATAGAAGAATGATGGGACATTTTTACAGTGGTCAATTAAAAACATCTATCAGCCGAGATGCTGGACCATTCAGCGGGATGGCAGTGCTGCAGCCTTAGCAGCACCACTGACAGAAGTGGCCAATGCGGAGGCTGCAAGGAGATGGAGACTTCATATCGAGGCACCCTTAAATGGCCAGTAAACGAATCAAGGCAATATTGGGATCAGGCTGGGCCAGGAGATCGGAGGAGTGACTGCTCCAGTGGTGACTGTGGGGTCATGGGATGGCTGTTGCTGTATGGCTGATCCTCAGTGGGCCATTTGTCTTCTCTTAGGAAATCCTCTCCACGCTCCCTCTCACTTGGGAAAGCTGGCTCCATGCAGCTGGCAGACACATGATATGGTAGGGAGCCACTCTACTACCACTCTTGAAGCCCTTTACTGCCATTCTACTAGCCCTGGTCTCCAAGGGGCTAGTGCAGTTCAGCCATAGTGTAGAACTGCAGAAAATTTTAATTACACTTCAATTCAGTAAACACTGTCTATGATACTTAGTGGCGCATTGACTATTCTAAGCAGAAATTTAAATGCCGTTTCATTTTGGCCATAGAATATACTGGCATTTTGTACAAACTAAACATAACTTTGTTGCTTTTGTGTTCCATTCCCCTATCAGTAAAGTCTAGGATATCATAAAATTAACATTTATAAATGAATTTATTACATTCTCTCACAACCTGTCCTGTAACCTTCAATGATTTACACACACATTCACTCAGGTCTCTCAGTTACCTGTTATTGCCTCTCCATGTTCTATCAAAGTAAATCACTTCCTATTTCTCTCCACAAATTTAATCTGCCATTTGTCTGACAGGTCTTGAAAACTAATAGATAGAAAGCAGGAGGGGAAGTTTAGGAATCCAAAGAGACATGTTAAAGTGTCAGAACAGTATTACGTGCCGGTAAAGACAAGCAGTATGGGACAGGAAGGGAGAAAGACTAACAGAAATTGTACATCAGGGAATAAGGTCATTGTCAAAAAACAGGGAAAATAAATTAAATATTCTTCATTGCGATGCCCAAAACATCAGCAATACAATAGATGAAGGAGTGACACAAATAGAGGTAAATGATCTAGATCGGATTGCCAAAACAGAGAAATGGTTAGAAGGCAATTAAGAATGGGAAATAAATATTCCAGGGGAGACAATATTTCTGAGAGACAGGCAGAATGGCAATGAAGAAATGGTAGCCATGATTATCCACTTACCAACTGTTCAGTCACTCTCATGCAGTCTGAATGATAATAGCTTTTCAGTTGGATTGGGATTCTTGCCAATTGTCCTGGTGAGTGCAAGCTGAAAAGCTTTGACAAAAACGTGCACTTTTCCTGCAATACTCTGTCATTTTGGTCTACTGAAGTGTTGTAGTGAATTATTGAAGTCTTTCGGGGCAAGGTATCTTTTCATCATGGATCTCCTTCTGGCAATGACACCAATAGGTGAGAAGCAGCAAAATTAGGGGCGAGGACAGAGCTGTGGCCACAGAAAAGATATGTAGGAAGAAGTGAAATGACAAAGATTCTGACCCTCCCAATGAGTTTCAGGCTCAGGACAATATAATTTACAGCGCATAAGAAAGTCGTGATGCTCTGGAAGGATAGCTTAGAGCTATATTGCCTCCTGCGACAAGATCTGGCATACACTGCCACAGCATTGCTCCTCGTACACACAGTCAGTGCAGCATTGAATATTTGCCTCAGTCTCAACAGAGAACATCAGCAACATTGGTGAGTCTGCAGCTTGTGTTATACATGTGTGTAGTTGCGTGGTTTTGGGGTCACCCAATCTTTGTCTGTAGAACACCAGTTGGCTGTTCTTGCAGCTATTTGATGCAGGCAACTGAGGCCCGAGAGTTAAAATAGTTCAGACTCAAACTGATGCTTTTGGGAGAATTTGACGTTGGTCTACTCACCTGAAATTGACATTCAGGTGAAATTCACCCAGCAGCTATTTCATTCCATCTTGTAAAAGATCATTTAACTTAAATAAACAGAAAATCATAGAAAACACATATTTGGATATAGCCCTAGGTGGGAAAGCTCCCACAAGAAGTGCAATTTTGTAAACCACACACACCACACACACACACATATTTATATATATATTACTCCTCCATCCAATTACCTCAGTTTCAAGTGCTACTGTTACATTTCGCCACTTTTCCTGTAAGATTTTTGTTTCATTCTCTTTCTCCTGCTGCAGGTGAGCTAGAGCAGACTGTTTGTCATTTGTATATTCTTGTTTTAACTGCTCCCGTAGTTTGTCATTCTCAAGTCTAAGAGGGGCATAAAAAAGACAACTTTCACTTTTTGATTCTGAACCAGAATCCTGAAAAGCTTCACCTGTTCCAGTCACAAATTGGTAATCACTGTAGAACTGAAACACTACCAAAAACATATCATGCACTCAGTAAAGCAGGTAATAAGAGATTTGCATCAGGTATCTTTAGTTTGTTGGTGTCCTCATTTTCAAAATGCGTATTGTATGTTCAGTAAACCAGTTTACTAACAATCCCCAGATTGACTTTATCTCCTGCAGGGGTCCTCTTTTTTTCCTTATTGCTTTCACTGGGATTATGCCCAATTCTGAAAGCCTGCTGGAGGGATGTGATTTTGGTTCATTTTCTGTGGGGTTACCAAATCAAAGTCCTTTTCTATTGAAGGAAATCTCCTGATCCAGGGATCTGTTATTGGCAGCCTGAACAAGGCAAGATGACTGTAATAGATCAGAGTGCCTTGCAGATTCCAGCAAAATTAGAATGGAATAATGAAGAGTGTTGTCCAGGATATGTTTCCCACTATGTGCTGAGGTGTTGCGGGGTGAGCTGGAAGGGGCTATTAACGGCTCATTAGCATCTGACATACAGGTAGGGGAAATTTGCAAACTCTTCTGGAAGCATTTCTGGAGGACTAGATCACGTGACATCAAATCACAGGATTTCTACACACAGGTCCTTTGCCAAGTGACTGTCTTTATGGTTTTGCATGAGTTGCTGTCATGTAACATGTTCCAAAGAATAGGAGGTCATCCAATGCAAGTGATGAGAGGAAAGCAGAGTGGGGATAGCCCTCCCTGAGATTTCGGGCAATTCTTTTGCAAACCCCCATCCCTGCTGCAAACTCAGGACATAGCTATCACTGAGCTTAGAGTCCCATCTCACGAAGATGAACAATTGAAAGTTCCCAGCTTTTGTGCAAATGGAGATTTTGTTTTTACAATTTGCAAAGACACGTTTCTATCCCTGCAATAGGGCTGTGCATGTATTCAATCCGACTGCCAAGATGGCTTCTGTGATGCATTATTAGTAAAGTGATTTCCATTGCACAAGCGTTATTCTCAACTCACTGCAGCCTCTCACTTACCTGTGCGTTTCACGTGTGAAATTGCAAACAAATTTGGTACATAGTCCATAGTTTGCAACTTGTGAGTGTCTGTGGTTTCAGGTTGTCCTTTGTATCTATTACAATATAAATCATTTAATAAATGACTGTTGGCACAAAACCTTTGTATTGAGTGAGTATGTGTTTTTATCACAAGCACTACCATTGAGAACCATGTGGCATAACAGAAATATAAACCATTTTCTACTTCTTGTTATGTATCCTGGAAGCAGTAACGTCATGATTAAAAAACTGGAGGAAAGAGAACCTCCAGGAATCAGGCAACAGATTCTTTAAAACAAAGACATTCTGTCGTCCAAACTCTCAAAATTGTTCTCAAATTGCCTCGAGGGCCTTTCAGTTCCTCCTTTACATACGCTCTTCAGCTTTTTAATGCTGACGTTCACTGACACCACGGTTTGTTCTACCTTCTGTTCAATTTCACAATGACAACAGAAAGAAGCTTCACATAAAATATTTACTCAAATCCACCTATGATCACTAATTTGGCAGCACAGTACATTGGAATGACTAAGGATTGGAAGATTAAGAAGCATTACTAGATGTGAAGATAAAATGGTCCTTTTATTATAAGAGAGAATCATGACTATTTCCTAATAACAATATACCTTTGTACATTAACACTGAGAATTTCTGTTGTTAATCAGTACCTACCCTTTTCAATTGATATTTGCTGCTAAAGCATATCATTTCAATTTGTGCTGAAAATATACAGCCTTCCATGATTACTAAATTGGTAGTGATGTATTTTGCTCAATTAAATTGTTTAGTTCAGAGTTCAGTAATAAATTATACATCATTTACAAAACTGTAGTAACATTTTAACATTTCTGGCTGCATATTAAGTCATTCAAATCAATGCTCAAGGTTTTATAATTTTAAGTATGGGTCTTGTTCATGGGTGAACTATGGTTTGTTAATAATGAACTAGTTGGGAGTTAGTTAAAAATCTGTTATAAATGAAGAAATGCTACAGCTAGTAGCTCCAGTTACAACATGAGATAGCTTTGAATGCGAATTAGTTAACGACTCTCTGCACTTACCAAATTCATTTTCTTTTGACAAATAGTTGGATTTTTTAAGTGTCCTGTTTTATTCCTCTATTTTTCACATAGCAATTTCTTCAGTTTCAATATTATTTAATTATGTTCTAAAAGTTTTATTTTTCTGCAAGCCTATTCATAGTTTTGTCATTTATTTTTACATTACAACACTTACATGTGAAAAGTACTTTCTCAGCTTTAGGAGAGTCTGAAATTATGAAAGTTTGTTATGTGAATGCCATGTATTTTTAAAACAAAAAATTTGATGTTGGTCATTTATTTCACACTCGGTTAGTGTAACTTGCACTTGTTCTTTTTCCGTTGTTAACTGGTTTAAATCAAAAAAAAAGGAGGAATTGTTGACAATTACAATTACATACGAAAGATTAGTGAAAAGGAAGTAACGTAACCACTAGAAGCAGTGAATTTATAAGCAACGTCTTTGAAAAATACAGTGGCATGTGCATGGTTGAAGGTGCTTGATATGTTTGTAATAGAGTTATTAATGAATGATGTCCTATCAAAGTGAAAACTGAAAAGAATCTGACTCACGCAGATAGAACATAGAACACAGAACATAGAACAGTACAGCACAGTACAGGCCCTTCGGCCCACAATGTTGTGCCGACCTATTATCCCACTAAGATCAAACTACCCTGCATACCCTACATTATACTAGCATCCATGTGCCTATCCAAGAGTCGCTTATAAGTCTCTAAAGTATCTGATTCCACTACCACTGCCGGCAGTGCATTCCACACACCCACCACTCTCTGTGTAAAGAGCCTACCTCTGACATCTCCCCTATACCTTCGTCCAATCACCTTAAAATTATGCCCCCTCATAATAGTCATTTCCGCCCTGGGAAAAAGTCTTTGACTATCCACACTATCTATGCCTCTCATCATCTTGTACACCTCTATCAAGTCACCTCTCATCCTTCTTCACTCCAGTGGGAACAGCCCTAGCTCCCTCAACCTTTCCTCATAATACCGGTCCTCCAGTCCAGGCAGCATCCTGGTAAGTCTCCTCTGCACCCTCTCTAAACCTTCCACATCCTTCCTGTAATGAGGCGGCCAGAACTGAACACAATATTCCAAGTGTGGTCTAACCAGGGTTTTATAGAACTGCAGCATAGCCTCGCAGCTCTCAAACTCAATTCCCCAGCCAATGAAAGCCAATATACCATATGTCTTCTTTACAACCCTATCAACGTGGGTAGCAACCTTGAGGAATCTATGGACGTGGACCCCAAGCTCCCTCTGTTCCTCCATGTGCTTCATTCTTTTTTACTCCCCAACACAAGCTACAAATGGCATCTGCTAGTCATGCTTTGAAAAGCTATTTTTTAATTATTTCCAAAAAAGTAAAATTTGTTGGCAACACATAGTACAGTCTTTTCGCTACTCATTTAGTTTGCCAAAATTAAAATTACACTTCTTTATATTGGTACCCATCTGTGAGGACAAAGACATTTAAGGAGGTTTTGACTGCAGCATTTGTTTTTACTTTAACTATCTAATACATTCCTAATAGTGTCAACAATATTCTGAATCAATGTCTACATTTCCAAACCAAATAAGTATCTTATCCACTTAGCTTAGGACTGCAGACTCCAGAACTCCTGACCGATAACTGCATCAATGGATTTTTTTTTTTTTTTTTTTTTTAAAAAATCGATAGTCAAGAAAATCAACTTCAAAAACTTTTATTTTTCCTGAATACTCTAAAATGATATTAGCACTTTAACCCAAAATATATTCAGAACTGATTACAAATCTGAATTGATTATAAAAGCAATTACACTTTGCAGTTAAGTTTCTGAGGTGATGACACAGACTTTATAGCTGAATATAAGAAGTATATTTCAGGGAAAGAAAAGTGCCACTTTTTGTAGAGTGTAACATACCGTACTTTTTCTTTCCATTTTGTCTCTATCTGTTGTGATAGTTGATCCCTCATTTTATGGTGTTCTTTTTGTAGGGATGAAACCAAAGCTTCATGTCGTTCCTTCTGCTTTCTCAGTTTCTCCTGACATGACAATATAAAGAGTGAAATGATCATGTGATTTTCTATTACCACTTAAGGGATTATTTCTTATTGGTTGCAACCAGTTAAAGAGTATTTTTTTAGAACTGTGTCACGGTTAAAAAGATAATTCTACAATTTCACTGCTGAACATTTCAGGATTTCTATGGCGAAAGGAGCAAAGTGGAAAGATGCAAATTGACTTCTGATATGGAAGGCTGAAGAGAAAATAATCAATTGGATTAGGAAAAAAAACCACTCCTCTGATAGCTGGCTATTTGGTCTACTTGGCTTCTACAGTTCATATTTACATAGGATTATAGATATTGCAAGATAATGGAGAGTTTAATTCCTCAGTCAGTAAACCTCCTGGTATCTGATGGCTTACTGTACACCACTTTGTATTATTGTTACGATGGAAGAGTGCTGAACACCTTTAAGGGTTTATTTACTTGCATTCCTGGTTTCAGAAAATCCCATATTTAAATCAGTGGTTTCTCTACTCATCCAACTCTTCAGTGCTTTTTCTATTAAATGTCCACTAACGAATCCTTGGGTTTATGAGACTTGGCACTGCCCACATTCAGAGAATGCAACTTTATTAATGGGTAAATGTTCAATATGAAAATCAGGCATTCACAGGTATTTCACTCTGACTTTGAACCATTAAGTCCACACAGAAAAAGGAGGCCATTTTGGCCTATTTTGTCCGTTCCAGTTCTTTGCTAGAGCAAACAAAGATCAATCTTACTGTCCCATGCTCTCCACTTCCCACTTTCCCATAAGATCTATTTTGATCCCTCAGGAGGCTAGTGCAGTTCTTCTCCATTGGTGTTATACTATTCACAAACAACGAGTTCCTGCAAATCTGCAAACACAGAATCTTCCCAAGTCGGAAATCCCTCCTTCTAACTCTGTTCTACCTTTTTCAATAGCCTTGTTTGCTTCTGGTGGAGAAAATCCCCATGCAAATCTGGGACCTGTGTCTTGGCAGAGAATGCAATCCTTTTACGTGAATCATATCAGTGTTTTAGTAGAAGTCTGACAAGTATGAATTAACCCTGGGTCTCCTTATATAGCTACCTCTTCCTTATACTCTTCTTTAGTTATTCTTCCAAGTGTATTATTCACACTTCACGTTATTATATCTGCTGCTCTGTTTTTCCTGAAGTTTTTTTAATGGTTAATTGCATTGTTTTCCAAACTATCTACTTTGTAGTTGTCAAGGAACTTCAAGATCCCTGTTGAGACATCAACATCCGCTGAGAACAAAGACAACTTTAACACCAGGGGCCTTGAACACACCACTGCAAACCTTTCTCCATTCTGAACAGCATTTACTCAGCATTTTGTTTCCTATCTCCTGCCAAAGCTCAATTTACTCTCACTCCTAACGTCTGGTGTTTTCTAGCAAGCTTCACTGTGAAGTGACTTTGAACATCTCCTGAAAATTAATATGTTTGACATCTAATTGATTTCTTTATCTACTCATTTAAGTTTATTCCATTATTAAAGGGTACCTTTGACAAATCATTGATTAACGCATCAACTTTCTAAATGGTCAAAAATGTTGTTATCTTAAAATATAGAACTAACTAACCAATGAATCCACATTACCCTTCAATGCCCCAACATTCTCATTTTATCAGCTCAAACAATAATATTGCACAGAATGTGGCCCATTGATGGAGTTATCCAAGTAGTTCCAGTCCCCTGCTCTTTGCTTGTGGCCCCATAATATTTTCTTTTCAAGTATTTACCACATCAGGTTGTAGACTTGCTCGCTGAGCCGTTGTGTTTGGTTGCAGACGTTTCATCACCCTGCTTGGTAACATCATCAGTGCACCTCCAGTGAAGCATTGGTGTTCTGTCCCACTTGTTATTTATGTGCCTTGGTTTGCTGGGGTGGTTGACATCACTTCTGGTTCTGTTTTTCAGTGGTTTGTATAAATCGGGTCCAGTTCAATGTGTTTGTTGATGGCTTTCCGGTTGGAATGCCAAGGCCTCCAGGAATTCCCTGGCACATCTCTGTTTGGCTCATGCTATTATGGATGTGTTGTTCCAGTCGAATTTGTGTCCTTCTTTGTCTGTGTGTATTGAGGCCAGTGAGAATTGGTGCAAAAAACAAGGCTGATTTAATTGTAGCCACATTCGGGGTTCAGGAAGTGCCAAGTGAGTTATCCATTTTGGCTCCATCCTGATGCCCCAGAATCACACACGCTAGACTTCAGGCAATTTGTTCACTGCACTTGGTAAAAACTGTAGAAAGGCAAAGTCAATGGTTCTTTACTTCAAAGTGGTAGTACTCAGAACAAAAACAAATTAGTGACACTAAAACTGGCTAACGGGTGTGATATTGTGTCCATTACAGAGACATGGTCACAATGAGGTCAAAGCCAAGAAACAAATATTCAGGGGTATGTGACTTCTCAAAAGGACAGGCAAGAAGGAAAGGGTGATGGAGTAATGTTGATGGTACAGGATGAAGTAAGTACGATAGCATGAAATAATCTTCGATTGGAAAACAAAATCCATATGGATGGAGGTAAGAAATAAAAAGGGAATTAAGAAAAACATATCTGTATAAGAGAACTGAAAGATGATCTCATGAAAGTCAGAATTATTTTAAGTACAAGAGATCCTGCCACGACAGCAAATCTTCTGAGAGAAGCCTGCTCTCAAGAACGCCATTGACATGTATAGTAACTTTGAGGTTGTCAACTGTCAGTTATACAGTATTAATAGAAGAGTAAATGAGTTTTTGCATCATGCTGAGAGACATTCCAGATCAAACAAGAATAGCATATCAGAAAAAATGACAACATATTCGCAGAAGGGTCAGCAGAAGATTAAGGCCAGAGTGCAACATATAAATATTGTGGGGATCACCCCACAAAAGAAAAAGGAATTATATCCAGAGTGGGGAAGGTAATGCTATAAACTACAAGGGGTTTAATCACTTTGCACATAGTTTATTTTGGTATAACGAAGCAAAGCGAGCCTATAAAAATGGTCGGAGAGATGTCATTAGATGATTCTGATTAATCACTATGCACCACACTAATGATTAGCATCATCAGATTTAAAAGTGATAAGTGGTTTGTGACCGTTAAAAATGATGATTGCAGAAGAAGAGCCAGACACCAATGATTCATGCAACACGATGAACTTTGCAGAACTGCATGAAGTAGCTTATCCAAAAATGAAGCCCTTGAGGCAATATGATATAATAATATTCACCACAAGGGGACAAATAAATCTGTGTTTCAATCAATGGTGAGAATGAAGATCTGGAGCTCCAGAAACCAGATATTAAGCTAAATACACCCATCTCGGCTGAAGCAAGTCTAAAGCTTGGACCAATAGCCCTGCGCTTGCCAGAAGAGGTTTGAAATGTTTGGTAGGCCACAAAGCCACAGACTGCTGAACGGATCCTAGAATGTTACAAAGAGGTTCTTACAGGTCTTGATGACTTTCTGATGAATATCATCTTAAAGTATATAACAGTATGTGAGACCTTGTCAGTATTTGCTGAGGAGAGTTATAGATGCCCTTAATTCCAGCTTCAAAAACAAGACAGAAGAACCAACAGCCCATTGACTTAAAGGCCTTAAAAAAAGAAACAGGAGGCCAAGAAATTGTTCTTTGAGGAGCTGGCAGCAGAAGAGACAGTCATTGCAGAGTGGCAGAAGAGAATGCGTGATTTGAGAAAAGAATGGAATGAGAAGAAAGAGATGCAACTAAAGATCTTGAAGTTCCTGGGTCAGGTATGAATGAAAAAAAGGACTGCACTTGGATTCTGCCAATATAAGAGCTGTGTGAGAGAATGATCAACAGATGTGAAGGCAGTGCAACCATTTAGCAAAATTCTTGCCTAATGTGTCACCAGAATGTGAACCTCCACACAAGCTCACTGCTAAGCATGCGCAATGATATTACAGTGTATAACAAGATATAGCTTCAAGTCAAACAACTAGTAACAAGAGTTCAACATGCTCTGGAGGTTGTCAATTCAGCTAAGACACTGAATCTGAATCAACGCATCATCTCCCGCCACCTGCAATCTGACCCCACTACCGAGGACATTTTTCCCTCCCCACCCTTATCTGCCTTCTGGAGGGACCGCTCTCACCGTGACTCCCTTGTCCGCTCCACACTCCACTAGCCCCACCAACCCCGGCACTTTTCCCTGAAACCACAGGAAGTGCTATACCTGTCCCTACACCTTACCCCCATCCCAGGCGCCAAGAAAACCTTCCACATTAAACAGATATTCACCGGCACATCTGCTAATGTGGTATATTGTATCCGCTGTTCCTGATGTGGCCTCCTCTACATTAGGGAAACCAAGCGGGAACACCTACACTCGGTTCATGACAAACGACTGCACCTCCCAGTCGCAAACCACTTCAACTCTCCCTCCCACTCCTTGGATGACACGTTCATCCTGGGCCTCCTCCAGTGCCACAACGATGCCACCCGAAGGTTGCAGGAACAGCACCTCATTTTGCTTGGGAACGCTGCAGCCCAATGGTCTCAATGTGGACTTCACAAGCTTCAAAATTGCCCCATCCCCGACCTCATCCCAAAACCAGCCCAGATTTTCCCCGCCTTCTTGACCTGTCCATCTTTTCTCCCACCTATCTGCTCCTCCCACCTCACTGACCAACCCCCACCTCCTACCTACCAGCCTCATCCCCGCCTCCTTGACCAGTCCATCTTCCCTCGACTGACCAACCTCCATCCCAACTCCCCACTGGCTCCATCCCTGCCTCCTTGACTTGTCTGTCTTCTCTCCACCTATCTGCTCCTTTATCCACCTTCCATCATCGCCTCTCCCCCTCTATTTATTTCAGAATCCCCTTCCCCTCCCCCATTTCTGAAGAAGGATCCAGACCCAAAATGTCAGCTTTCCTGCTCCTCTGATGCTGCCTGGCCTGCTGTGTTCATCCAGCTCTACACCTTGTTATCTCATATTCTCCAGCATCAGCAGTTCCTACTATCTCTGAATCTGAAAGACATGTGTTTCGCACTATTCAAGCATTTGTCACAGGGACAACGTCATTTTAGGAAAGAGTAGATACCAGATAAGCTGCTAACACTAACTTGCACATGTGCCATTAAAAGGACTTGACTGCTTTAGCGATTATGGATGAAACATATTTTATAGAGACTGATTATACTGCATAGGCTAGAACTAACAAACACTTTTGTTAATGAATGATAATTTTCTCAAATGACCATGTAAGTTGGGTAACTCAAATGACAGTGCATGCAAAATTAGTCTTTTTTCTGCAACTGGGGACATCTGGAGAAATGCATTTGTACATGTTGCTTGCTATAGTTATATGATGTATTGTGCCTTCACCTTAGAAATACTAGCCACTAAAATGCAATACATGAAACAAAATGTTGGACTAAACAATCTTAGTGTGACTCCTGGTAACTATAGAACCAACATACCTCCACCCCTCCTACTTGACTAAGCCCCTCTTACACATTCATTCATAAACTCATTCACTGACATACTGAGAAGCTTTGGGATATTTAACTTACCAGAGTATGACAGCAGCCAGTGCTTCAAAAGGAGGGCTTGGCTTCTGGGCAGATTGTCTTTGCTGACATCTCTAACGTGTCCTGCACAGAGGGGCTTTTGCAGGATCCTCCATAGGAGGTTTGGCCAGAAAAATCAGAGGAAGGTAAAGTGAGCAGTTATTTTGTCTAGTCCTCATCAGAAAGGGGCTCCAACACTGATGGGAAGTTAAATAACTCAATTGCTTTCATGCTTTTAATTGTGAATTTTGTTTTGGATGTTTTGAGCGTTCACTGAAATACCATTCAATCCTGATTCTAATGTTTAGAATATTAACCTCTATTCTCTTTACTAGTGATTGCTTATTTTCTGTTACCTTTTCACTCTCTACCACATTGTTTTCTCTCTTTGCATTTGAAATAACTGTACAGAGGCTGGTATCCCGTCACCAAGTCACCCCTTATTTACTTGTACGCTGACTGTGCTAGCCAGCTTGGAGTCAGTCCCCTAAATGGAGGAGATTCTAAATCCTCTGTTTATATTGGTCAGCCAGGGCTTTCCCAATTGGCCCAGGTTAACAACCCCAATCAATCAAAGAGTTCATAGTCAACATGATCCACCTGGTTCCAATCACTACAGTATTCCTTTCACATATGGCAATGTTTTTTAATAATTTATTTTAGCTAAACTTTGCTTAACTAATCCTACTCTCAAATCTAATATTTTTCTAGATTCCCAGCCTGTTAGGTCAAACCTTTCCCAAACTCTCTTTACCCTTTCAGCAACTGTATTGATGTTTCATCAGTTTACACCAAGGTAGGCTCTTTGCTGTAGTCTTTACCTGTTCCAGAACGTTCGATATCCCCCAAGAAACCCAATCCTTCAACCTTCAAGCATCAATTTCTTTACAATTATAAGAACTATAAGGCAAGCAATCATGCAAATGTAATGTCATTTCTTTGTGTATCATTCTTGTTAATTATCTAAAGATGACCTGCTACAGTTACAGTTGAATTTTAAGGTTGAGATTGTTAAATGGTTCTTACAGGTTGCTATCTGCGAATAACCATCAGTAAGTAAAATAACCATCAAGTTGAAAACTGGTGTAAGGAAGAAAAAGAAGAAGAAAACCAAAAAAAGTGTCAAAATATATCAGAAATGGCCAAAAAAAATTGAAAAAAATATTTGGTCAGGCAGCATCTTTGCAGAGAATCGAGAGGTCACTCTTGACATGAAACTGGGCAGGAATTTAGTGTAGGTGACACAGTGTTAGCTGGGGCTCAGTTGGTAGTCCCCTCACCTCTGAACCAAAAGTCCTTGGTACAAGTCCCACTTCAGGGCTTGAGTGTATAAAAACCAAGGCTGACTTTTCAGTACAGTGCTAAGGGAGCACAGCATTGTCGGAGATGCTGTCTTTCTGAAGATAAATGGAAGGCCCATCTGCCTTTTCTAAGTTGGTATCACAAATCCCATGGCACTATCACAAAGAGAAGCAGGAGAGTTGTTCCTGATATCCTGACCAATAACTACGCTTCAGTCAATATCACACATACAAAAACAACTGGGTCATTACTACATTGTTAAGAATGTTCTTAACAGAGTTGCTGTCCAATCAAATGCTAGCAGTTCTACATTCCAGACACCACTACAAGGAGCTGTATATTCTGTAGGCAATGCTCGGAGACCTTCACCAGGAACCATTGCTGATGTTTTGGAAGTGGATGAGTGAGGCATGTGGACAGAGGTGACTATCAGGAAGCTAACTTGCTTCATTAATCTGCATCCCCTGATCAGGCCCTGTATGCCTTTGAAAGAAGGACTCTTGAGAGGCCACTTGAAAATTCTACAGGGTTTAGGATAGTCTCTGAGCCATCACTATATCCCATGGTCTGAGGGATAATGATCTCAGGTAACAAATGGGTGGTGCCACTGACCCCTGGGGATTAATGTTCCCACTGGAAGGAATGTACCGTGCAACCTTCTCCGTAATTACGTGGTCCCACCAGTCACCCAACACCATGTGGCAGACTCCATTAAATCCCAGATATTAGCTCCTGTTCTTTTTCACATATGCTTGACCTTCTGCATGTTTTGTCATTCTGTTCATATTTCAGATTTCTAGTATCAGAAATGGTCAAACTGCATTTGAAGACTGCTCCCAGTCCAACTATTTAAGTTTACCTAAACCAATACATTTATATTTTCTGTAAACCTGCTAGAAGCTTGCTATTTGATATGCAACTTTGGGATATATTTGTCTTCATTCTAAATTCTAGTTTTACCAACAGCCTAACAAAGATCTGTATTTTCAAACGGCAGCTTTTGTTCAAATGAATTCATGTAAATATTAACTGGCTTACAAATATAACATTTTATAATATTTGTTGTGGAGCCCCATTTTTACTGCTGCTCCCTCCACATTCCAATGGACAACAAATTTTACCTAAATTACTGTATCTCTGAATCACTTTCTCTTGTATTTCCCACCTGCAGCTCTGATATCTGGTTAACAGCCTGTTCTTGATCCTGCAGTAACCTCTCGTGGCTCTCTTTCATGTTTGTTGAAAAAGATTCAGCTTGTACTGTGTCCTTTTTGCTCTGCTTCATTAAGCTGTCCATCCTGGAAATCTAGAAGGCCAATCAAATTCTGAGTGAGCATCATTTAATTGAGTTAGTCCTCAGCTACAGTAACGTATAGCTGCATCAGCACTGACCTGCTGTAGCGAGTTCTGAAGTTTGTTGTAAAGCTCCTCCTTTTCATTTTCTAACTGTTGTCTTTCGTTCTTAACTTTGATGTTAATTGCATCTAATTGATTGTGTAGTTCCTGCAATAGAGATGTCAATTATTACTGAAACACCTTACACCATCATTTCACAGAATAAAATTTCTCTGAAAGTATTGCTCAAAATAATGTTTCACTGTAATAACTGAAGTTGACACATTTACCTACAGCTACGTTTACACTCCCTAAATATGTTGCTGTATTAAGCTCCCAGACAGAGATGCTTTCTTAAATAAGTTTCATATCTATTGTCGCTGGAAGACACAGCCTTGTGTCAACATTTAGTAGAAAATGAGTTGAAGTACAGTGACCTGGTATTACAAGTGGTGAAACCCAATGAACTTCATGAATTTGATGCTCAGTGCATCAAGCCTGATTCACTTTAATGGTTCGGTTTTCTCAGTTTTCCAAAGGGCTGCTAGATGAGGTAGCACAAAATAGCAGTGTTAGAAATAGTACAAGGAAAGAAAAACTAATACAGTCTAATCTATTCTGTTACAAAATAGATCACCTCCAAGCTCCAATCATCATTTCACATTGTGACATTTGTATTTTCCACATTAGACAAGCCTAGGAACAGAGGAATTGATGGAGCTGAGAAAGATCACTGCTGTCCATCTGGCCAGTGGTAGTCTGAGTAGTTGACAATTTACCACAAATTTATAGGCATCCTTACATTATGGAAATAATTTGTCAGAAGTCACATGACACCAGGTTATAGTCCAACAGGTTCATTTGAAATCACAAGCTTTCGGAGTGCTGCTCCTTCGCCAGGCGGACTCCATCTGATGAAGGAGCAGCACTTTGAAAGCTTGTCAGAGTCCTACAGCATGGAGACAGGCTATTTGGCCCAAACTGGCCCATGCTGACCAAAATGTCCATCCAGGCTAACCCAGTTTCCCTGCACTTGGCCCATATTCTTCTAAACCTTTCCTATCCAGGTATTTGTCCAAATGCCTTTTAAATGTTGTTAATGTACCTACCTCAACCACTTCCACTAGCAGCTCATTACATATGCGTACCACCCTGCGTAAAAAAGTTGCCCCTCAGGTTCCTATGTGTTCTTTCCCCTCTTACCTTAAACTGATGCCCTCTAGTTCTTGATTCCCCAACTCTGGGAAAAAGACTGAGTGCATTTACCCTATCCATGCCTCTCGTGACACTTCTAGAAGATTCCCTCTCAGTCTCTTATGCTGTAAAGAAAACAGTCCTAGTCTGTCCAACCTCTCCCAATAACTCAGTCCCTTGAGTCCTGGCAACATCCTTGTAAATTTCTTCTGTACTCTTTCCAGTTTACTTACATCATTCCTATAGCAAGGTGATCAAAACTGAACACAATACTCACCAACGTCCTGTACAACGACAACATAACTTCCCAATTTCTACACACAATGCCCTGACTGATGAAGGCCAGTGTGCCAAAAGCCTTCTTTACTGCCCTGTCTACCTGTGACTCCACTTTCAGAGAACCATGCACCTGAACTCCAAGGTCCCTCTGTTCCACTGCACTCCTTAAGGCCCTACCATTCACCATGAAACTCCTACCTGGATTTGACTTTCTGAAATGCAAAACCTCACACTTATCTATATTAAACTCCATTTGCCATTTCTCGGCCCATTTTCCCAGCTGATCAAGATCCTGCTGCAATTTCTGATAACCTTCCTCACTGTCCACGATATCGCCTATTTTAGTGTCACCCGCAAACTTACTAATCATGCCTTGTACATTCTCATCCAAATCATCGATATAGATAAGAAACGGCAATAGGCCCAGCACCAAGCTCTGAGGCACACCACTAGTCACAGGCCTCCAGTCCGACTAGCATCCTTCCACTATTACTCTCTGCTTCCTACCATCAAGCCAACTGTGTATCAAATTTGCCAACACTCCCTGGATTCCAAGTGATCTAACCTTCCAGAGCAGCCTACCATGTGGAACCTTATCAAACGCCTTACTGAAATCCATACAGACTACGTCTACCACCCTGCCCTCATCAATCTTCCTGGTCACTTCATTAAACAAATTTGAGAGGCATGATCTCCCAGGCACGAAGCCATGCTGACTACTCCTAATCAAGCCCTATCTTTCTAAATTCATGTATATCTTATCCCTCGGAATCTTCTCAAGTAAGTTGCCTGCCACAGATGTTAAGCTTGCTGGTCTATAAACTCCCAAGTTTTCCTTTGCAGCCCTTCTTGAACATTTGCTACCCGCCAATCTTCCAGGACCTCCACCTGTGGCTAACGAAGATGCAAATATATCAGCCAGAGCCCCCGCAATTTCTTCTCTAGACTTTTGCATTGCTCTTGGATATATCTGGTCAGGACCAGGAGATTTATCCACCTTCATACATTCTAATTCTTCTAACATCTCCCCTACTGTGATATAGACTGTCGCTAAGATAACGCCACTAACTTCCCCAAGTTCCCAAGTCTTCATGCCTTTCTCCACAGTAAACAGAGGAGAAATATTCATCAAGGATCTCACCCATCTCCTGTAGGTCCATGCATACATGTCCACTTTGGTCCTTGAGGGGTCCTATTCCTTTTTTTTTTCCTGTCTAGTTATTCTTTTGATTTCAAGTAAACATGTTAGACTCTAACCTGGTGTCGTGTGACTTCTGACCTTGTCCGCCCCAGTCCAACACCGGCACCTCCACATCATGGAAATAATTGGAGCATACTGTTCATTTAAGATCTGTCCGGACATTTTTTCCCTACCAGTCTGGAGGAGAAGAGAATCGAAATTCAAAACTAGGCCCCGTGGTGTTTATATAACGTGTGTTTATAGGAATCGAATGTCACTATGGTACATTCAAGACAAGTACGGACATTAGATAACTTGGAGCATGCACCTTTTGCAGTTGCTTTCTTTCTAGCTCCATGGAGGTCTGTACTGCCTTGATTTCAGTGGTGTGTTTCTTTACCAGCTCCTCCAATCCTTTCATCAACTGCTCCTTGAGGCGAAGCTTCTCCTCTTCAGCCACTCGTTTCAGTTTCTTCAGCTCCTCCTCGTGCCTTTTTTGGTACTCTTCTTTCTCATGAGTGAGAATTTCAATCACCTACAAAGCAGAGAAAAAATCTTTTTGCTTCTATGGCATAAATAATGTTTTAAAATGGGGAAATATATTCAAATAAACTACCAACAAGCCACAAAAAACCTTCTTAAATAAACAACACCATTTTGCATTCATGGAGTGCATTCAACTTAGTGAAACATCCGAAGAATCTACACATCAACAAAGCATTAATATTTGGCATCATGTCAAATTTTATGGGACATTACGATATGTTACAACATCAGCTACAACCTCAATTTTCAATGAAATTTTAAAAATTTACAGGTGAACTAGACAGAAGATCCAAAGAATTGGAAAGAAAATGATCTCAAAGCTGGCCTCTCCTCATCTGTTACGGCACTGAGATCCTGGGAATATATTTTTTTCAAATGGATTCAGAAATTAATAAACTTCATTTATAAATTATATTGTCCATCTCACTATGAAGAAGGCAAATATTTTATTCAGAACTTGGTAATTCAACCAAGCTATATGTAATATTGAATGCCATGTAATCAGATTTCACTGGGTTAAATATCCAGCAATCTGGCTAACCAGAGTTGGAATTCCTAACTAACTGGGTAACTACTGAAACATTGAAGACCATCAAAGCAACTTGCTACACATTACACTTGTTGGACAATAAAGTGAGGGCAATGAGAGGTTCTCCGTCTCCTATGTCTGTCCGGGAGCTAAGGTCATTTCTTGGGGCTCCGTCCTGGCCACTTTGCATCAACTCCTAAAAAAGGTCAGCCTTGGAAATGGTCACATAGACAAGCCCTAACTTTCATTGAAGTAAAGAAACAGCTATCATCTCCTAAGGTGTTGATATATTATGATCCCAAGAAAGTTCTGTATTAATATGCGATGCCTCCCTTTATAGCATTGGGGTGGTATTAGCTCATAGCTGGCCCAATGAAAAGGAAAGCCCAATAGCATATGCATCCACCACTTTGGCTAATGCAGAGCGTAAATACGCCCAGATAGAGA